GGTGGGCAGGGGTGACTGACCAGGAGCTGCAGCGAGCCCAGCACCCTGTGGGTGTGCAGGTGGGCAGGGGTGACTGACCAGGAGCTGCAGCGAACCCAGCACCCTGTGGGTGGGCGGGTGGGCAGGGGTGACTGACCAGGAGCTGCAGCGAGCCCAGCACCCTGTGGGTGTGCAGGTGGGCAGGGGTGACTGACCGGGAGCTGCGCATTCTTGCAGAAGCACGGCCATCTTTAGTTCCCCTTAACTAGAAACCAGCCCAACGTCAGCCTGATGGCCAATGTCAGCATGACCAGAAACATGCCAGCCGTGAGATAAACTCCCTCCGACCAGAAACATGCCAACCCTGCAATAAAGCTTTCCTCACACAGCAACGTTCTGAGCCTGTGATAAGCCCTCCCTCCCTAACCCATTCTCTTACTTGGTCTGTAAGAGAATGCTCCTGAGTCAGCGAGAAGGCCCACTCAGGTTCCTTCCCAAAGTAAACCTGTTTTTGACTGTGGCGCCGCTTTTTGTGCTGATTTTTTCTTTAACTCTTACAGGTCACTGGGGTGGGGGCGAGGGGGTCATGGGTGGCAAGGGGGGTGTGGGCATGGGAGCACTTGCCTGTATTTCAGGGGACTGTGGACGTCCGTCTTGATGGACTGGATGGCATACTCGGGCCGGTAGGACCCGCACCATACCTGTGGGCGTGTGCGGGGCGTGGTTATAGACCATGGGGTGGGGTGGGCGGGAGGGGTGGGGAAGGGTCTCCACCATCCCCAGGCTGCCCCTTCTAGGGTGGGGTGGGGGGAGCCAGTGGGTGTCCCCCTCCTCCCGTCAGCACTGGACTCCTCTCCCGCTCCCGCCCCTGCCCCTCATGCTTTTCCCCCAAGGGGCCTTCCACGCTGGGCTCTCGTCCCCAGAGCGGGTCCTCCAGAGACGAGCGGGGAATCGTGGGGACGGTGGGACCAGAACTGCGGCTGCCACCTGGGCGTAGTTGATGAAGAAGAGCTGCTCGTGGGTGAGAGCTAGGCCGGGCAGCTGCTGGTCCTTGCCGCCCTCTGCCATCCACTTGAGGTAGGCCTGCAGGCACCGGACGGGAGCTGGGCTCGGGCCTGCCAGCCTGGACTCCAGAGCCCTCAGGTGTTGGGGCAGAGCAGAGGTCTGGCTCCAGGACCTACCCCTGTGTGGGTACCGCTCCTGCAGGGACCCTGTGCAGGGCCCCTTCGCAGACCCCATGGGTGAGCGCCCACCACCTCACTCACTCAGGGAACCCTGAGCTGGGCTCTGGGGGGATCCCTGGCCAGGCAGCCCACTGCACAGCACCCGTCCTGAGCAAGCCCTGGCGCCCCATCCCCTGCCAGGGTCCCAAGCGAGCACCCCATCCCCTGCTGGGGTCCCAGCGAGTGCCCCATCCTCTCCTGGGGTCCCCAGCGAGGCCAAGCGCCCCATCCCCTGCGGGGCCCTGAGTGAGCGCCCCATCCTCTCCCGGGGTCCCCAGCGAGCCCCAGCGCCCCATCCCCTCCGGGCCTCACCTGGTAGGCTTGCCGCACCCCTCCATTGTCCGCAATGTTTTCCCCAAGGGTGTTGAATCCGTTCACCTGCGCACAGGAGCCAGGATTGGGGGCAGCTGTGGCCCTGACTCCCCTCTCCCGCGGGACAGGGCTGGGGCTCGGGTCCCCTCAGCCTCGGTGCTGGTGGCAGTGCTCACGTTCTGCTCCTCCGCGAGGTCCCAGGAGTAGTTGCCGTACTGGTAGATCATGCACTCCGACTGCTCCCGGAAGTGCTGGCTGGAGAAGTTACTCCACCAGTCCATCATGTTGCCGTTCTTGTCGAAGTTCCGGCCTGGGCAGGGGCAGAGGAGGGCTGCCCACACAGTCCTGGCCGCGCTGCGCCTGGCGTCTCCTGCCCCCACTGCAGGCAGTCCCACCACAGAGAGCCCACTGTCCTGAGCAGGCTGAGCCTGAAGAGTGTCTCGGGCTCCAAGGGGCAGCAGCTGTCTGGGGCTACACAGCCCCCCAAAGAGGGAGGCCTTCAGTAGCCTCCCATGCCACCCCCTGAGGCCAGGGCCCGGCACCTGGGTCCTGAGGTCTCGAAGGTTCCGGGGTTTAAGGGCTCCTTCTGTGATGCCCAAACTCTAAGCCCCAGGTGAGGGGAGCACGTGGTCCCTGGGGACATGGGGCTGCCCACGGAAGGTCCTGATGGCTGAGCCACAGGGGAAAACCAGCCGGGGCCCCTGTCGCAGGAAGGGTGGTCCCCCCTGAGTGGCAGAAGTCGGCATGGCCATGGCGGGGCTGGACACCCCTGGAGTGGAGGATGCCGGGTCTGGAGAGGCCCCCAGGCCGGGATCCAGCCTTCACTGCTGTGCTGGACAGTGCTGTTGTCCCCACGTCACAGGCCGAGGGAGGGAAGTGCCCAGTGCCAGGTGGAGTCAGGGTCACGAGCTGGAGTCCCTGGGTCTCTTCCTCTATGGTGGGAGTCGATGCCCCCATGCAGGACCCCAGCCTAGCAGTCAAGGTCTGCTCTGCCCCCACAGCTCCCTGGGGACCTGGCCTCGTGTCCCCACTGAAGCCACGAAGGGGTTGAATGGGCCCTCACCCCCCCAGACCCCTTTCCGCTCGTCTCCATGGAGGGGGAGGGCGCGTGTGGTCGGAGCGGCCCTCACCCCCCCAGACCCCTTTCCGGCTCTTCTCTGTGGAGAGGGGAGGGCGCGTGTGGTCGGAGGGGCCCTCACCCCCCCAGACCCCTTTCCGGCTCTTCTGTGTGGAGAGGGGAGGGCGCGTGTGGTCGGAGGGGCCCTCACCGCTGTCGTCGAAGCCGTGCGTGATCTCGTGACCGATCACCGTTCCGATGCCGCCAAAGTTCAAGGCCTGTGGCTGCCCCTCGCTGAAGAAGGGAGGCTGGAGGATCCCGGCAGGGAATACTGTCCCCAGGGGCGGGACAAAGGACAAGTGTGAGTGGACGCGTCTCCCGTGTGCCAGGCTCGGGGACGGCGCCGCCAGGGCTTCTGACATTCCATCCCACAGACCGGGAGGTAGCGGTCAAGACCCCTCAATTTACAGATGAGGACACAGAGGTTCAGTGGCTGGGCGGGCTCGTGCCTGGCAGGCCCAGGACCCCCGTCGGGCCTCCTCCCACCTCCTGTGCAGTCCCTCCTGGACCACTCACGGGCACAGCAGCGAATGTTCCCCTGGGGGCAGCAAGGGGTGCCGTGGGAGAGCGGATGCCTGCTCCCGCTCTCTGTTCTGAGAACAGGCTGGGGTGCCCCCAGGAGGAAGGGTCAGCAGGGGTTGGCACGCCGCCCCTTCAGCTCTGGCACCAAAAGGCCCATGCGGGCGGGGAGGGGAGGAACTTACCGATCTGGTTTCGGTTTGGGGAGTAGAACGCATTGACCACGGCAGCCCCGATGATCCAGCTGTGATTGACAAGCCCATCTCAGGGAGCCGCTTCTCCCGGGACCCTCTGGCCCCTCCCTGCCTCGATGGACCAGAGCCCACCCCAGCCACACTAGAGCAGGGGGCCAGGCCTATCCCAAGATCTGGTTCCTTCCTGGGGTCCCTGAGGAGGGGGAGACTTGGGCCCCAGAAAGCAGACTCCGTCTGAGACGGGCCCCGTGACCGCCCCTCTGAGCTGCCACGGCACCCCAGCCACGCATCCAGTCCCCACGCCCAGCAGGTAGCCCTGCATGCCTTGCCGACCACTCCCTGCCCCGCCCTTGCTGCACTAGTGATGCCACTCACAGATTCGGGTCCACCTTTTCCCGAAGCCTCCTGAGGCTCCGCTGGGCGCCCACCTTGAGGTTCTGCAGACCGTTCTCAAAGTACAGGTCCTCTGAGAAGTTCAGCTATGGGAGAGGGCCAGTCACTGCCAGGTGCTTGGGCTGGGCCCTCAGCAGGGCAAGGGGAGAGGTCCTGGGTGGTTGGGGAAGGACCTCAAGCCTTGCCAGGCATCCGCACGTGGGCAGCTGGCTGTGGGTGCAGGTGAACCTTGGCAGTGAGCGTTTACATGACTCTGAGCAAGTCCCTCATCCCTCCAGGCCTCAGTTTCCCCATCTGTACACTGAGGGTAGTGCTGGAGCCACCACCCTAGGGCATGGTGAGGACGGTGGTGTTGGTGCCTGGGAGGAGGGCGCAGGGCTTGGCACAGAGCGCCCCCCAGCCAATCTGGGCCCCATGTCCACCATGTGGGGGGTGGTTTGGGACTGGGGTGGCTACAAGGGGACAGGCAGGCAGCAGTGGGGGGGTGGGGCGCACGCTGGAATACTCCTCGTCCAGGCGCCTGTTCCTCTCCTCCAGGATGTAGTCAGGGTGGCCGATCTGCTCCCGGATGCTCATGGCCTGAGTGGGGAGGAAGGGCCGGTCAGTGGCTGCCCCACTGTGGGAGGGGTCGGCTGGGGACCTGGTCAGTGGCTGCCCCACTGCGGGAGGGGTCGGCTGGGGACCTGGTCAGTGGCGGCCCCACTGCGGGAGGGGTCGGCTGGGGACCTGGTCAGTGGCGGCCCCGCTGCGGGAGGGGTCGGCTGGGGACCTGGTCAGTGGCNGTCAGTGGCGGCCCCGCTGCGGGAGGGGTCGGCTGGGGACCTGGTCAGTGGCTGCCCCGCTGCGGGAGGGGTCGGCTGGGGACCTGGTCAGTGGCTGCCCCGCTGCGGGAGGGGTCGGCTGGGGACCTGGTCAGTGGCTTCCCCGCTGCGGGAGGGGTCAGCCTGGGGCATCCCAGATGTGCTCTCCCTGTCCTGTGGGTGAGGGGCTGGGGAGGCTCTAGGACTGGGCCTCCACCTTGCAGGCTCTTGGGAGGTTCAATGGGGACAGGACATGGGGGGCTCTGCCCAGCTGACTTAGAACCCAACAGCCCTCCAGGGGTCCGGGTGGGGGCCCCAGAGGGGTCACTTGGCTGCCAACTGTCACTTGGGTCCAGAAGGGCTTCTGGTGGGTCTGACCCTCACTCCCGAGGTCACCGCTACTCCCACTGGCTCCTGGGGAGTCCGGGGGATGTCCCAGGCCTGGTTCCCACTCCCGCCTGCTTTTCCTCAGCTCTGCAGTGGGTGGGTGGTCCTGTCTGTGCCTCCCGGGACGGCCCTCTCCCCGTGGGGGCCGTCGGGCGGGTCTGTTGGGCTGGCTGCCCGTGCCCAGGTCCGGTCGGGGCTGCCCAGCCTCTGGGAGCCGCGCACCTTCTCTCGCGCCTTCTCCTTGGACTCCTCGTCCATCCAGCCCAGCTCATCCAGCGTCTCCACGAACACCGCCCGCACCTTGCCAATGAGTTCTCTAACCTGGGAGGCAGGCATGGCCCTCATGTCCCAGATTCGCCTGGAGCCTTCGAGGGTTTTGGGGAGGTCTAGTCTGACCCCACTGGGGCAAGGCCCAGGGCCGCCCAGCTGTGAGGCCTCTGGGGTGAGGTGTGGGGCGGGCGGGGGATGACCCCCCCCTTCAGGGGCCTGGGGCAACTTGCACCACCTGTGCTTTTCCCAGCTGGACCTGCAGGGCCCAGGAGTGGGGCCCGATGGCTGCTGGGGTCGGGGGCACGG